TTTCCTTTTCTTTTCACTATTATTATTTTTTTATGTATTATAATTTTGTTTTCTGCAATGTCATCGACCTTTGTCTTTTGTTTAAACCTTTAGTGTAGTTAGTTGATTTGTAATCGTTGAGTTGATCGCAAGCTATTTAACAACTCTTACTTTCGGTAATTTTTTTTTGTAAAATTTTATTTTGTAATTTTTTTGTATTTTTTATTATTTTCTAATTGTTAATAAATATTTTCAGTTTCTGAAGAGGACAGCTGAGCTGTCGAAACGTGAAAAAGTTTTTTTTTTTTATTTTTTTGACTTGGAAGATTGATAAATTCCTTTTATTTTGAATTATATAATTTTTTACCAAGTGATAAATTCTTTTAAATATATAAGAAAATATATGTATGTATTAATTTTTTTTTCGCATTGAAACAAATTGAGGGTGTTTCTTGCCTTTTTTTACTAAAAAACATAAATGTCAAAAACAATTCTTGTCCTAATTTCAATTATTTTCAAAAAATTTTCGAATTTCAATTATTTTCAATATCTACTATTTTAACCCCTTCGCAGTCAAGACATAAGTGGGCTCAAAATGTCGACAACTTTTTAGAAAACTAAAATTTGCGCAAACGAGCATACTATTGTATTTGAAACTCGCTGATTACGAATCCGATATCAGATTTTGAAAATTCAAAATAACGGATCCAATATGGCGGACGAAATTTTTAAAAATTCATCGGATTCACTTGAAACTTTTTACTCGGGGGTTTTTGGAGTCGCTGATTACGAATTCGGTATCAGATTTTAAAAATTCAAAATGGCGGATCTAATATGAAGGACAACATTTTCTAAAATTCATCGGATTCATTTGAAACTCGTTACTAGAAGGTTTTCGCTGATTACGAAAAACTTTTTAAACGATAAAAAATACCAATTTTTCCCCCCGCAGTCAGCTGGTAAGTATACTACGTTACTTACCAATTTTAAGAAATAATTAAATTGTTATGAAGAATTTTATATAAATATTTAAAAATAATGAAATTTTTTCGATAAATTAGAATTAAAGTTGTTTCGAAAATAATTGAATTTCTTTAAAGAATTTTATTAAAATTAAGTATACATTCAAAATAATTGATCACAAGAATTTTTTGATTTTTTGAAAATAATTTGAATTGTTTCTATTTTTTTTCACAATTATATTTAAAAATTGCATTGAAAGTAATTTAATTTTTATATAGAATTTTTTAAAAATATCTTTGAGAATAATTGAACTATTTTTAGAAAATTTTTAAATTCTTGTTGTTATTCAATTTTATGGAAATTTTTTTTGAAAATAATTAAATTCCTTCGCGTGTAATTTTATTTATTAGATTAAAAATTATTTAATTCCTGCAAAGAATTTTAGTATTTATAAAAAAAAAAAAATTGAATTGTTTTAAAGAATTTATTAAAATTTTTAGAAAATATAAAAATTTTATGTTAATATTTGAAAATTTAAATTCTTTCGAGGAATTCAATTAAAATTATTATTGAATAATAATTTAATTCCTCCAAAGAATTTTACTTTTTATAAAATTAATTGAATTCTTGTGAAGAATATTTTACTATTTATAAAAATAATTGAATTTTTTCAGAAAGATTTATTAAAATTTTAGAAAAAAATTGAATTTTTTTTAAATGTGTTAAAAAATTTTCAAAAAATTAAATTCTTTCGAGGAATTGAATTAAAATTGTTTTGAAAATTGTTTTTCTATTTTTGACAATAATTTCTTTTTAAATAACTTTTAAATACATAACTTCGCATAAATTCAATTATGTTCAAAATTTTTTTAAAATTCTCGTCAAAATTTCAATTATCTTTATAAATAATAAAATTCTTCTCAAAAATTCAATTATTTTCAAAAAATTTAATAAAATTTTTGGCAAAATTTCAATTATTTTCAAAAATTTTCCTCATATCAATTATTTTTGATATCTATTATTTTGATAAAATTTTCCAAAAGAATTCTATTATTTAAACAAAATTTTAATAAAAATTTAACAGGAATTCAATTACTTACCAATTTTTTTTTATAAATTTCTTCGCATCAATTCAATTATTTTAAAATTTTTTAATGAAGTTTCTCGAAAGAATTCAAATATATAAAAAGAATTAAAAAAAATAGTCTGAGAAATTCAATTATTTCGAAAAATTTAAATAAAATTCTATAAGTAATTCTATTATTTAAAAAAATGTTGACAAAATTCTTTACAAGATATAGTTAATTAAATTGCAATTTTAATAAAATTTCCCTATACAATTCAATTGTTTTCAATACATTTCTGCTTAAGAATTCAATTTTTTTCACAAATAAATTTTTTATGGGAATTCAATTATTTAAAAGAATTTGAATAAAATTCTTCGCTAGAATTCAATTATTTTCTTTCTTGAGAATTCAATTATTTTTAAAAATTTTGATAAAATGCTTTATAAATTTGAAAAATTATAACAAAATCGGTCATAGAATACAATTATTTTCGTAAAATAAAACATTTTTTCTAGAAATACACTTATTGTCACAAAATGTTTGTAAAACTCTTCAAAACAGTTCAATTATTTTCGTAAAAAATAAAATTTTTTTAAGCAATTCAATTATTTAAGAAATTTTAATAAAATTCTTCCCAAGAATTCAATTTTTTCAAAAATAAACATTTTTACAGAAATTCAATTATTTAAAAAAAAATTTTTTAATTCTTTGTCAGATTTCAATTATTTTCAATGTTTTAATGAAATTTCTAGATGGAATTTAATTATTTTTTAAAAGTTTTTAAAAATTCTGAAAAATTCAATTATTTAAAAAAATTTTAATAAAATTCTTCACAAGAATTTCAATTCAATTCAATTCTTTAAAAAGATTTTTAATAAAATTTGTTGGAAGAATTCAATTGTTTTGATAAATAACAAAACTAATCTCAGAATTTGAATTATTTTTATAAAATTTTAAATAAAATGATAGAAAATTGCATTTATTGTTTTTAACAATTTTTTTTTAAAATCGCCGAAAGAATTCAATTATTATTAAAAATGTTGTTAAAATTCTTCATAAAAATCCAATTTTTAAAAATATGCAATTACTGAATAAATTATTTTTGTTTGTATTTAAATAATTGAATTCTCGGGAAATTTTCTAATTAAAATTGATTAAAAAATGAAATTCACTTAAAATTTTAAAATATAATTGAATATTAAAAACATTATAGCGTGAATTTTTAGAAATAATTGAATTTTGAAAAGGGTTAAAATTAAAATCTTTGAAAATTTGAATTTATAGGTATAATATTCTTATACACTGTAAAAAAAGGGAGTTAAATTTTAACTCCCCCGGGGGATCTATAAAAGTCGCACCCATTGGGGAGTTAATGCCAGGGGAGTTAAATAAAGAGAGTTAAAATTTCACACACAAATGCTAACTCCCCAAGGAAAAAATAACTCGCGCGGGTGTTGAATGAAGGGAGTTAGAAATTAACTCTCTTTTGGAGTTGATTTTTAACTCGAAAAATTTCACTCCAAACTCCCGAGTCCGTTAACTCCCTAAATTTTTTACAGTGTATGAAATAAAATAATGAATTTATTACTCTGTCATCTTAAATTTATTATAAAACATGAGGAAATCGATCACTCCAAGAGTCGAAGACTTGGAGTAGTCGATTTCTTCATGTTTTATTATAATATTCTCATAAGTTATTGAATTTGAGAATCTTAATTCCTATATGAAAATATAATAATGATTAAATATTTATTTAAAAAAGAAGTTATTAATGTTCTTCAGGATTAGGGAAAAAGTGAAAATTTTCTCTGCAAATCAGGGAAAAGTCAGGGAAAAACAAAATTAAAATTTTGTGGCAAACCCTAAAAAACTCGGACTCATTTCTGTTACAACTCAAAATGAGTCTATGTTAAATGCACTGTAAAAAATTTAGGGAGTTTTTTTCACTCGGGAGTTGGGAGTGAAATTTTTCGAGTTAAAAATCAACTCCAAAAGAGAGTTAATTTCTAACTCCCTTCATTCAACACCCGTGCGAGTTATTTTTTCCTTGGGGAGTTAGCATTTGGGTGTGAAATTTTAACTCTCTTCATTTAACTCCCCTGCCATTAACTCCCCAATGGGTGCGACTTTTATAGACCCCCCGGGGGAGTTAAAATTTAACTCCCTTTTTTTACAGTGTGACATAGAACGTGGCGCCATCTGCGAGATTCATTTTTGTTGCAGCTCATAATGAGTAACTTTTACGACTCATTTTGAGTTCAGTTTTTCTCTGTGTGTGTAATATTATTTTATATTACGATTAACATAATTTAAATTAACCTATACTTGAACAAAAATATTTATTTTATTATAAAAAGAGTTAAAAATTAATATTGTAGATACCAGTTATTCTTTAATCAATTATGACAAATTAAAATTATATTTTGATGGATCAAAAAAATTATTTTTTTAAATTTGAGTAAATTTTTTAAATTATTGAATATTGAAGAGCAAAATATGGAAAATTCAAGGACAAAAGTTCAAAATCCAGGACATTTAAGGACATTTTTTCAAATTCCAGGACTTCAAGTACCAGTAGACACCCTGTAATAATTTTAAATATAATATGTAAAATAGAGATGAGTTTTTATTCAATATTTTTGATAGAATAATGACATAAATATGAATTATTTTTATGAATAAGATCGTCATTTAATATCTTTTACTCCACAAATTGCAAAGAAAATCTAAAACCTTTTGCATTTAAGATTCCTTATATTTCAGAGCACGCCACATACACTATATACATATATATCTGTTTGAGTGTACATTACTGGGTAACGCAAGTTTATAGTGGAGAAAAGGAGCAGAGAGCAGAGAAAACTTTTGAGAGGAAAAATTCACAAGGGGTTGTCAAGATTGGGAAAAAGGAGAGAAGGGGTGTGTGTGGGATCATGGAGGGTTATAGACGATGATGGCGCCTGCGCTGTTAGTATGTCCGGGTGCAGAGCGACGGCCGCCACTCCCGAGCGCGGCTTTGCGCGGGTGCGACCGTCCGGAGGAGATGTTAAGTGAAAGTAGGACCAAGGAAGCGACGAAGAAGAAGAGCAATTTCCTGTACCGCGTAATCAGCGGTCTGCAAGTAAAGTGTCCGAAGGCATCGTAGGAAGAGGACCTTTCAAAATCGATAGCATCCACAGTCCTAAGTTCCTCGAGACTTTCAAAAAAGAAAAAAAGGTCTCAATTCCTCTTCTTTTATGTCTCTCTCTCTCTCTTTCACTCAGACACAAAAATTTATCCATCCTCTCTTTCTCTCCTACCCTGTGTTACCCTCATCAAAAAAAAATATTTGCCTTTTTATTCTCGCGGTCCTCTTCCTACATAAATGGGAATAGGACTCGGAAATATACTCGGAAGTTAATTTTGGGCGAAGAGATAATACCGGCGCCTCGAGGCAAACGGGAGAAAATAGAGGAAGTGACACAAAAAAGTGAATTCACTGTCGAAAAATGTGTGCGTAGAAGAAAAATTCCCGCGGAAGGCCAACTTTCGCTGGGATAGTGACGAGGAAGTGATAGTGTAAACGAGGTGAGAGTTGGTTTTTTTTTTTTTTTTTTTTTTAATAATTCAGCCCGAAAATTTGGTGATCGTTGGAAGTCTATTATTGAGAGCGTGTCATTCTTCAGGACGAATCAAAGCGGTCGCAGGACGATGAGTTCCTTTCACGCCTTCTCCTGGACCTTAGCCCTCTTCACAGCCACCGTGGCCTTACTGCTTGCCACCTACAGCACGCCTTTCGCACATGCTGCGTAAGTACAATTTTCAATCTAAATAATTTTATTTTCTTTTCAAAAATTTGTAAATTATTTTTTAACCTTTTTTTTAAATTCTTCATAAAGTTACAGTTCACTGGAAGGTCACTGTAACAGTTCACTGTAACTTTATGAAGAATTAATTCCGTACCATTTTTAGTTTCATTCTCCATTCTTACTAATTTATTAAAATTTTTAACCTTTTAGAAATTTTGAATTCAGTTTCAATGTATTATTTACTTACTTCTTTCATCTTATTTGAAATTATACTTTTTGCTATCCAGTGATTAATTCTAATTTCTTATCGAATCGAATTCTGATATGCATATGAAAAGTCAGTATATTTCTTCCCAACGTTGCCATAAACACAGTGTTCTATTGACCTAGAGACGCCAGACGTTCGATTTAGGTTCCTTCGTTACACACTGCTGTACTAGAGAGAGGTTATAGTCCAGACGATGTCAGTGCGTTTGCACCGAAAAAGTCAATAAACCAGAAAATACTTTTCGAGAGAAAGAAGCAAGAGAGAGAAGATGAAATTTTTCACCTAATTCTAAATATGAGATGCGATTATTCTAGTTTCGTTATATTCGATATTCAATTTTAATTACTAAAATGAAAATTGATTTTTTCAATAATCAATCGGTCGGAAGTTTGAACGTCTAATCACTATTTCTTCAAGCAGCATTGATAAAATAATAAGATTATTATTAATCTAACAATATTTATAAAAAAATTTTCTCAGAACTAATTTTAAAATTAAAAATTCGTAAAAATAATTAAGACTATAAATTATGACTATACTATAAATTTAAAATTAAAGTATTAATAACTTCTATTATTATTATTCTATTATTATTATTATTTAGATTCTTAGTTTGAATTACTGTCCGCACAAACTCGGTTTTTTCTACTTTCACGATACAGAAGAAACGTCTGACCAAATACGTTTCTTACTACTTAGCTATACTACTCAGGGAATGAATCTATTTCAATATAATGCTTTTACTACTGAAAACTAAAATTTTTTCAATAGAAAAAATTTTTCTACATATAAATAGAACATATGAGTAATATTATAAATTATAGTATAAATTAAATATAAGTGTAAATTATACAATTATACAATTATACAACTATACAATTATACAATTATACAAATTGTGAAGTGATGTAAAAAAATTTAAAATTCTTACAATTTTTAACTTTGATTTTTGCCATATAGATATATAATATAATATATAATAAAAAATCAATAGATTTAAAAAAGAAATTGAAAAAAAATTAATAAAATAAAATAAATAAAAAATCAATAGATTTTTTATTATATATTATATTATATATCTATATGGCAAAAATCAAAGTTTAAAATTGTGAGAATTTTAAATTTTTCTACATCACGATTTTGTAGAGGTCTTCAAATATTATATTTATTACAATGTAATATTATAAAATATGTAAGTATTCCAAGTTGAATGAAATCATTGAAATAATTAAATAGGGTTAAAATATTTGAAATTTTGAATAACGAAAATAGATATAAATGTTATTGATTTGAATAGCTCTATAGAAGAATAATATACCAAGGTGGATGCCTCGATCTTGTTCTTCCACGCGATTTAAAGAGTAAAGTTCATCCATATTTTATAGTTGACAGATTCATTTCTCTGCATGATGGCTTATATTTTAAGATGGAAATGCATAACATGGATGAGTTTTCTATACATTAAATTAAGTTAAGTTAAGTTAAGTCAATTATAAATCTATAAATATAGATATAAATTTGAGTCACAGAAAAATGGTTATCTCATGTTTTGGAATATAAATAGTTGTACCAAGCAGGTTATCTCATGTTTTGGAATATAAATAGTTGGACCAAGCAAATCTGTTTTTTCCATGCAGGTTATATGGTAAGGACCGCACTGTCCAACCCTTTAAACCACACCCTAAAGGTCATGCCATTCAGTCATCACGTGCTTCTCATACTCTACTGTGGAAACACGTGACCACTGAATAACATGACCTTAACTGAATTTTTCTTTGACATACGCAATCACTTTTTGGCTGCAAACTTCATTTTCAATTCACGTTTTAAACAAACTTCTTTCTGTATAGAAAAACTTTTTTGGGCTTCTCTGATTCTCCTATAACTATAGTACGGTGCTCCTGACCAAAGTTAAATAAATTTAATCTGCATGAAAATTTATTTATATCTAAAAAGTATTAGAAACAGGAAAAGCCCTAATAGAAAAATGTTCTCTACGCATCAATAACCATTTTCATTTCAAGTGCGGAAATGAATTTTATTTTAACTCTCATTGTCTCAAATATATTAGAACTGAAACTTATTTTACTTAGTTTTCACGAAAATTTTACGAAAAATGTAAAATGCTTTGAATAATCATTATAGGGTAAAGTTTGACCAAAATCAAACATTTTTGTTTTATTTCAATATTAAAAACATATTTATTAAAGAAATTTATTTCCAATATATATATATGTAAAAAAGATGATTATTCAAATTTGGATTTTTTTGCGATTAAAATTATAAATTTTATATTCTAAAAACTATTTTATTATTCATTTAAATATACTTGATTAAAAAAAAAAACTGAACGACATCCTGTTTTATAATTCACAGTATTTGAAACATTCATTCAGTAGCAAGTAATTTATAAATATAATCATAAAACTTATAGCACATAAAGTATTTAAAAAAAATTCCACTTTGACTTGTAAATTTTTAATGATTTTCAGAAATTAAAAAAAATCCTCTGCTGAACTGTCATATTTTTGAGAATATCTTCCCTCAAATTAAAATGTTAATGAAAATGTAAACAATAGAACAAAATTTAATACCCTCTAAATTTTGAAATTTTAATAAAAGATTAATATCTTAAAGTAGGTATATAATTGGAGTATTTATCCATTTCTTTATGTTTTATAATAATTAAAGATGACCGACTGACAAAATTATTATTTTATTATTATAAGAATATTGTTACTGAAATTCCTTCAAAATTATTTGTATCATTTCAATTCAATTAACATTTTCTAGAATTTTTAACTAAAATTCTTCTTTAAATCAATAACATCAATTATTATTCAATTAAACTTTTTCAAAAAAAAATTAATTGTACATAATTGTTAGTTAAAAGTACGAAAAACAATAATTTAATTCTACGAGAAATCAATTATTTCAATACAAAATAAATAATATTCACTGTTTCTTAAAATTTCATTTTTACGAAGAATTTTACTAACAACTTTTGAAAATATTCAATTTCTTTTAAGGAATTTAATTAAAATTTTAATGAAATTTATTGTAATTAAAGAATTTTATAACAATTTTTAAAAATAATTTAAAACTTTTTGATGAATTTTATTAAATTTTTTAAAAATAAATGAATTCCTGAGAAGAATTTAAATAAAAATTTATAACAATTTTTGAAAATAATTTAAAACTTTTTGATGAGTTTTATTAAATTATTTAAAAATAAATGAATTCCTGAGAAGAATTTAAATAAAAATTTATAACAATTTTTGAAAATAATTTAAAACTTTTTGATGAGTTTTATTAAATTTTTTAAAAATAAATGAATTCCTAAAAAGAATTTAAATAATAATTTTTGAAAACAATTGGATTCATGAGAAGAATTTTATTAAAATTTTTGAAAATAATTGACTTCTTGAGAAGAATTTTAAAAAAATTTTTGACAATAATTTAATTCTTGAGAAGAATTTCCCTATCTATTTATAAAAATAATTTAATTCTTGACGAGAATTTTTTAAAAATTTTGAAAATAATTTAATTTCTGCAAAGTATTTTATTACTTTTCAAAAGAATTGAATTCTTGTGATGAATTTTGATATTTATCAAAATAATTGAATTTTCGAAAAGAATTTTATTAAAATTCCTTAGAATAATTGATTTTATGGGAAGAATTTATGCGATTTTTGTTGTTTATCAAGCTAATTGAATTCTTTTGCAAAATTATTAAAAAATTTTTGAAAATAATTGATTTTCTGCGATGATTTTCTGTTATTTATGAAAATATTTTTTGCAACGAATTTTATTATTGCAACGAATTTTATTGTTTTATTGAATAATTGAATGTTTATTAAAATTGAATTCTTTCTTTAAGTTAAATAAAATTTTTAATAATAATTGCATTTTTCAAGGAATTTATTTAAAATTGTATTAAAAATACTTGAAATTATGCGATGAAAATAATTGAATTCGTAAATGAAATTTTATTTTTTATGAAAATAATTGAATCTTTTCGTAGAATTGTATCAACAAGTTTTTTCTATAATTAAATCTGTTGATAAATTTCATGAAAATAGTAAATATTTAAAAACATTGAATTGCGAAAAGCTTTTAAAAATAATTGAAATGTTGCAAAGAATTTTATTTAAATTTTTGAAAATAATTGAATTTTTGTCGAAAAATTTTGCTATTTATAAAAATAATTGAATTCTTGACGAGATATTCATTAAAATTTATAAAAATAATTGAATTCGTGCAACGTATTTTATTAAATTTTGTTTAAATAATTCAAATTTTGCCAAGAATTTAATTAAAATTTTTGACAATAATTGAATTCTTAAGAAGAATTTTGATATTTATCAAAATAATTGAATTTTGAAAAAGAATTTCATTAAAATTCCTTAAAATAATTGATTTTATGGGGAGAATTTTTTTGGTTATCAAAATAATTGAATTGTTTTGCAGAATTACTTAAAAATTATTGAAAATAATTGATTTCCTGCGACGAAAAAAAGGGGAAATTTTCAAAATAGGGTACGTTTAGGGGCCAAAATTAAAAAAGGGGACTTTTATGGAAATAGGGGACAGACTGTGAAGCCTGCAAATCATTAACTTGCTTTTGATTTAAAGCAAAATTAAATTTCATTCATAGTCAAAAATAAGACTAAAATGGATTGTTTTGATCTTTTTGGGTGTTAATTTAATCTGCAACGCATTTTAATACCTC